GCTATATATGAATGATATGTTATAGGGGCAAATAATTCAGGGAAGAAAGGATAGGCCTACTAAGTATTTCCATTAAACTTTATTTTTAGAAATGTACAAAATGAACATAAATATACATATATACACACGGTATATCATCCATTCCTCCTCGCATCTTGCCTGCGCACAGCCGGTGCGGTGCCTTTTAGCACGAGGCCTCAGTAGTAGTAGAAGTCCCGTCCCCGTCATGGATTGTCCGCCAGGATCTGGCTGGACGAAATCAAATGCAAATCACAAAATATTAGAGAAACTTAGTTGTTTTAGATTCGTTAGTAGTAGTTGTGGTAGGAGTGTAATGAACAGCTTGCCTGCTAATATGCTAACCTAGCTTTGTTTACCTTGGTAGCTAACACGATATGAACGTTAGCTTGGAGGAAAGGCAACTATAATGCAGTGTAATAAAACTACTATGAACAAAAGCTAGTGGTTCATATTAGGCTAGCAATAACGTGTTTATAATTGCAATCGTATACGGGTATTCTGCTACGTTCTGTCATACAATGTAACTTGCATGAATACATTGTTTTGCGCTAGCATACAGCTAGCCTCGTTAGCTATACATGCAGTATATGTACTGTCACAATGTACGGTAAATCACCCGGAGTATACTGTATGAGTATTCCGTGTGTGTGACTGCAGACATTCTCCTGCCATGACAAACATGTAAGGCCATCTGCTGACATTGTAGTTGATATATTTAAACGCTAGCAACGTAGCATCACAAAAATGTTTTTCCGACCAAACCTAGCTCTAGCTCCGTGTGTTAGATCGGTTGCATACACGCTACGCCAGCTATAATGTAATTACGTTTCGCGACTGACCGCACGGCAAATCACCCGGAGTATACTGTCAATAGGTATTTTGTGTGTGAATGCACATTCTCCTGCTATGAGATACATGTATGCAAGGCCATCTGCTGATATTAGAGTTGATATATGGAAACTCTAGCAACTTAGTTAGCACAGTTAGCACTGTGTCAATGGCTTAGCAGTCCAACACAGTTTACACATTTAAACAGTCTTGTTTGATAAATACACAAATAACAATGCAAACTTACAGGTTGTGTACCCGGATCTTCCCCTGCTCCAAACGGTCCAAACAAGCTGTGCATATCCGGCCTCAAACTGGGCAATGTTTTGGAAGCTTTCGTCTGTGAAATGCCGGTTCTTCGAACCTCTGGAGGAACACGCCGCTGCTGGTGTGGCCATAGCTCTTCGGGATTGGTCCATTTCGTTCCGGGTACCGCATGACATCAGGCGGTACCCGGAACTAAATGGAAGACTCAAATGGGCAGTGACGTATCTCCAACGAGGCGTTTTGGGGAGGTATTTTCTGTGTTAGAGTTTTACTCGCTACAGGGTGTACTTTGAGGGTTTTGACTCTGCACACCGTTTACATGCATAAAAACCTTCATAACACACAAGGGGACGGGTAATAACCGGAAAAGCATGACATGGGAGCTTTAAAACAAATATAATCTACTTGACAGCTGACTACAAACATAGTATCTCTTATCTTTTGGGCTCTGATTATTGACTCTGTGTGTCAGCTGAGGAAAGACACTTTTGATGTGATGATTTTTTCATACACACAATAGGTGCGTTCACACCGGAGTACTTTGGTGTACTTTTCCCACAATAGTTCATCAGAACTACGATATATTTGCGTTCACACCAAAAAGCCCCAGGAACTAAAGTAGCTCAAATTAGTTCGTCAGACCCGCGTTTCAGTCCTTGCTAGAGAGCAGGGACTGTTGTGGGAGAAAGTAGTTTGTACGTCTGATTGGCTGTGCGGAATGCAAACCACGCCCGTTTGACTCTGAATTTTTTTTTGGAAGTGGCCATTGTATTTGCTCGCTTCGGCAGAAGCTTCTACTGAATGCAGTTTCCGTGGCTCAGCAAAGTTAGCAGACCTGACAAAGTCATGTCGGGACGACTACGAAGGTAAAATAAAATACATGCACTGCACTGTTTTAATCTGCACAATACTGGTCTTAGATGTACTTTTATTTGCTCAGTAGATCGAGCTAGCCATGCTAGAACTTGCTAACGTTAGGTCCAAGCTGGCTAACAACATCGAGCTAGCTAGCTATTCTCAGCCGTGCCCGCTATGAACACGTTTTGACTTGTGAATAAGTGTGCAATGTTCTGTAATTTGCTTCACTAACTCATGGCACTAATCGTGTGTTTCAGGCGAGGTGTTTCTCTCAGGATTAGAAACTAGTTTTCCCCTCCGGGATAAAACGATAATATAACGTTAGCAATTAGCATGCTAGCTGGACATAATGCTACCTCTGTATTCTTACCTCTAACAATACATTGTAGTTGCTATAATTTCAAGTCATTTGCAACATTCATTCTACATGTTAATGGTAAAAGCTTAAACAGTTGATTACCTGCATGCCACAAAGACTGATGTTCTAATATTTTTGCACATTTAAGTAGAAATGTAATTGAAATTCTATTTACTGCCTAAACATTGTTCCTTGTCATAGTATTATCCTAAATAGTTTGACCTTGTTTCCTCAGAAGGCTTCTCAGACTACATGGAGGATCCCTCAGAGAAACACAGTTTCCACGTTCAGTTCCCCCCCGCTGAGAGTAGGCAGCTCCACACCCTGCGCCCGGTCAGCGGACACCATCAGGACTACTATCTGATCACAGAGGATCCCATCCTGACCGCTGCTGCCATACTGCAGCAAACAGGAGGGAACGGAGGTGAAAACACACTTTATACATATAGATATGTGGAGCACAAAGAAAAGCATTGCTAAAAAACATTTAGCGGCTAAACTGTGGATAACAAGTAAACCACATTGGTTTGTTATTCAATATGGCCGCCAAAAGCTTTTTGAATCATTACATGTCACTTGTTAGACGCTTTTATCCAAAGCTTACATACTCAATACTGTGGGCAATCCCCACAGGAGCACTTTGGGGTGAAGTGTCTCAGGGACACAACGACATGCTGACTGCAGTGGGGTTTGAACCTGTGCTCCCCTGATCCGAACACCAATGCACTTATCCACTGCGCCACACGCCTCCCTATCATGTCCTGAGAGCCCTCCATCCCCCAATTGCTAGTGCCTTCACCATTTAAAATGTTAATAGTCAAATCAAAGGTGTTCCCCGTGTTCCTCCTGTTGTGTGCCTGCAGAGACAGACTCAGAGGTGGAGATCGCCCACAGTGATGACTCTGACGTGGGGGGCTCTCTGTTATGGGCTGCTCCCCTTCCGGTATTTGGACAATGTTGTCTCGTTGTTGCGATTAAACTGATCTTGTATCTTGCATATTTCACCATAGGAAAGTGGGCACGCGATGACAGCTTCCTTGACACCATCATGGCGATGGACCGCCGTGCCATGGTCAGCAAGGAGAATGAGGACCTGCGTGCCAAGGAGATGCACGACGAACGGCTGCTGCATTCACACAAGGCCCAGGAATCGAGGTGGAGCAACAAAATACCTTTCAGGCTGGGCTTCTGGCAGTGCTAAGCGAGCTGATTAAATCCAACAGGCCTTCAATACAAAAATTAAGAAAAACTTGATAAACTGTACAATGACTTGTTGAGTGGCGTGTGGTGCAGTGGTCTGGTGCGTTGGTGTTCGGATCAGGGGAGCACAGGTTCAAACCCCACTGCAGTCAGGATGTCGTTGTGTCCCTGGGCAAGACACTTCACCCCAACTTGCCTACACCTGGGACAGTTAATTTTGTATTATTGTGATTATATATATATGCCACTGTTATTAATACTGACACCTAATTTTGCACTAAGGTGTGTCTGCTGCTGAGCCTACCTATTGTTATTATATATATATATATATATTGCCACTGTTATTATATTGTTTTGATACTACTGACACTTATTGATCTGCTGCTGATAAATAAAAGAGAACCGACATGCACGGCACTAGCATCATGATTGTCTTTGTTTAAACCAGCAGCAGTGCAGCGGTACACAGACTAACCTGTGTGTGTGTGTGTAAGCTTAACATGTATGTATTTATCACAGTAAAGATGGTATACAAAAGCTTTTTAAAGAGCTTTCAACCTCATCCCATTGTCTTTAACACACATTTAACATAATATACTCATATTAATATACAAATATACAGTATGAGTACTGTTTTGATACTGACATTTTATCTTTGCACTAAGATGTGTCTGCACTATTGTAATTATGTCTGTTGACTGTGGTAAATAAAAGAGAGAACCAAATGCACTGTACAAAAGATCAGCTTTATTGTCAATTTACAATTTCCATGCTGTTCAGATGCCTCAAGGGCTGTGCGCGTGTCTTGCCCCGTGGCGATTTTTTTAGGTTGCGTCTCCCCAACGTTGCTTCCAGGCGAATACAGAGGAGTTGAAAAGATCCACTTTGATCCACTGCACATTGGTGTACATTGGCAGTGCACCACCTTCTCCCACCAGGCCGAGGTTTTATTGTTCACCCAGAGAGAGCGCGGGACACGACGCGTTCCGTAGTATTCGCATATCTGGAATACATACAAAGACACAAATTAGCCCTACATAACTCCATAAATCCTACATTAGATAGTATTAATGTGATTTAATGAACGTACCATTGCTGTTCTTTGGGTGTGATAACGGTCATCATGCTCAGCTGTCCTACGGCGAAACATGTCCATAGCGTGTGCTTTTCGTGGTCCAATCCTTTTGTTAAGGCTTCTTTTTTGGTGCAGTAAGGTGTTACCATTTTTAGCTCGTTGCTAATTCAGAGGCTCAGTGTTAGCATTGTGGGTTTTCTTTTAAAAAAAAAAAAAAAAGATCAGTTAGATGAGTTTCTTCCCGTTACATGGATATAAAACATTCATAGTTTTATTAAATGAACATGCCCTCAGACACTGTTTCCTGCAAGATGTTGCGGCAGTGCCCCGGTACCGGGGTCTCTCGGGCTTAACAGGTTAATGGCCAAACTATTCCACAATTTAGGATTTTCCAGAGAGGGTTATTTGTGAATAAACGTCCCACCGGAGCGTTTGCAACGGGAGCATGTTGTTTCTTACACGACAACTAGAGCACGTCTAGTGGTCATACACTTTAAAACGTGTCTCTGGGTCATAATAAGGGCTTGAACAATCAGCCTATATGGTCGTTTTTTGTAGGAGGACAGGCTGGAAAAAGCAGAGAGAAACAGAGGAGCAGAGAGGCTTTAAATAGCTGCAGGGCACCGGACCCAGGTGCCCTGAGTTACTGCAATCAAGGCTGGACACAGCACAGCCACACCCTCTCCAGATGAACCCACAGGGGCATCACAACAGGGGGCTGGCCGGGCTAGCATGCAAAGACTTATTGAGGTTCAGCAGGCAGAGACACTGGGATCTGAAGTGCAGGTTGAAGAAGGCGTACAGGAAGGGGTTGAGGCAGCTGTTGACGTAGGCCAGGCAGGTGGCGTAGGGATGAGCCAGCAGCAGGAAGCGCAGGAATGCACAGTTGGCCGGAAACAGCTCCAGGTAGGAGAGGGCGTCAGCGCTCTTCACGATGTGGAAGGGCATCCAGCAGGCGGCGAACACCACTACCCGCATGGTGATGATCTTCAGCAGCCTCCTCTTGCGTTGGTCCTCTTTGCGCAGGGTGTTGGCGTGGCGGGTGACGGTGCAGCCGATGAAGCCGTAGCACAACATCATAACCAGGAAAGGCAGAAGAAAGCCCAGAGCTGAGGAGAAGATACTGAGCCCTGCGATCCACAAGTTCTCCTGCTCCACTTTGGTCATCACCAGGCTGAAGTCCATGGTGCAGGAGGTGCGGTTGCTGGTTGGATCATACTTGGCGGTGCGGAAGATCAGAACGGGGGCAGCCACGAGACCGGACAGCAGCCAGATGGCGGTGAGGCAGGCTCTGGTGTGGCCCCGGGTTCTCAGCTGAGTGCTGGACAGGGAGTGAACGATGGCCAGGTATCGGTCGAAGCTCATGCAGGTGAGGCAGAAGACACTGGCGTACATGTTGAGCAGTGTCATGTAGCTGCTGATCTTGCACAGGGCCACTCCGAAGGGCCAGTTGTAGCCCGTGGCGGTGTAGACGGCCCACAGAGGCAGGGTGACCACGAAGGTGAGGTCAGCCAGGGCCAGGTTACCAATGTAGAAGTCAGCTATTCGCCGCTTACCCTGAGCTCTCCACACCGTGAAGATCACCACCCCATTTCCAGAGAGGCCGATGATGAAAATAAGCATGTACAGCACCGGGATAACAGAGTATGACGAAGACCACTCAGAATAGTCACACATGATGGAGCTCCGATTCTCTGACTCGTCGTAGTCGTAGTACTCATAAGGACCGTCAGTTGCCTCCATCTTCTCTTCTTATTCCTTTTTTCAAGAAAAGGAAATCTGTTGCAGATAGATCCACAGTATAACACTCTGAAGTCTGTTGCTGTGAAATCTGCCCACCCTTAAATACCCCCTCAGACTTGTGCCCTCCCAGGACGCGCCCTAGTAGTTTCCCTTCAAGTTTCACATCCCCAAAAGAATGTGTTCATGTGGCCATAATCCTCTTCCGCATATATTCTTAGAACAGCAAACCCCGTTAGAATTTAAATTAAGTAAATTAACTATCTTTTTAATTTAATTTAAGCTTTTAATTTAGGGTTATTTTAGTGGTATCACTGTTCATGTGTTATTGTTTTATGGTTCTGTCATATGACTCTTTCTGTTTGTTTATAACTTGTTTTTAATTATGTTCCTCACTTTTAATTTTGTATCTTGTCTTACTGTAAAGCACTTTGGGCTGCATCTTGCATGAAAGGTGCTATACAAATACTGTTTATTATTATTTTTTTTATATATATATATTAGGTATCACTTCAAGGTTGGGTAGGTAAGTTTGAGAAACCGGCTCGAGATACACTTTTTGTTATATTCCATGGAATGCTCTTAACATCCCGATAGCAATGAATATCTTAAGTGCTTTGACAAAAAATCCATTAAAAAATGTCATCTGTGGAAGCCGTAATACTGTAAAAAGCACGACCAATCATTTTAGCCGGCCCGCCTACCTGCCTGTCAGCCTTCCATCTGTGCACAAACTTATCTCGTGCCCTCATTGGTCACGTGCGCGTTCGTGTGTGTTGGAGGAGGGGCTCTGTAAGGAAGGGGCAGATTTTTTCCGGTTGTGTATTTTCAAATTCCAGCGCACTCGAGCTGGTTTCTCCAAAATTACCTACCCCACCTTTAAGTGTGTGTATGTGTTTTTGCACCTGTCATATACAGTTTTTTTTTGTTGGCAGCCTTATGCATACATATACCTTTAAATAAAATAGATATGAAACACAAAAAAGAGAGGCTATGAATTGTTTTAAAACAAATATAATCTACTTGACAGCTGACTACAAACATAGTATCTCTTATCTTTTGGGCTCTGATTATTGACTCTGCGTGTCAGCTGAGGAAAGACACTTTTGATGTGATGATTTTTTCATACACACATAGTGGCACGCGCACAGCACACACTTTTTTTCATCTCTCATGATGTTAAAGATGTCAACACTAACCTGTATACACTCTTTCTAACAAGCACCCTTATACTAAGAAGAACCTGTAAAACCACTTGGTGCTTTACCTTTTGGTGTGCCTAGCCATCACTCAGTAACATATATATTTACATACATATATACATTTATATACACAGTCTGTTGCCCCTTTCACACCGGCGCTTTTCCAGCTCCTGCTGGGAGCTAGAGCCTGAAAAGCGCCGGTTTTTCCAGTTCACACCGCAGCGGCGGCGCGTCATAGCTCCGGAATGCGGTTCACTTCCAGCTCCAAAAAGTTGTCGGTCCAGAGGCAAGAGCTTTGGAGCTATGACGCGGCGTCGCTTACGTCGAGGCGTGCAGGAAACCTTACTTTGACCATCCGTTCGCTGTTATTGATCATTGTGGAGAGCAGGCAGACGTTTTGTTTGTTATTATAGCAGCTATCGGATGGAATCAATACATGGGCTGCACAGGTTGTCATGTCCGACTATCACAAGTAGAATCATAATGAAAAATACGCCGGTAAAAAGTGCCTGTAGAAAACGGCTTAGCAAGTAGTCAGTTTAGCTTCGGTTGCTATGCTAACATCACCCATGTTATACCAGAGAAACTTTCATAACAGCGTTGTGATGCCAAACAGCTTCAATTCAGACTGACACACATTCACTTAAGGGGAACTGGGGATATGTATCAGCTGCTTGTGTGACAGTCAGACAGTGAATACTTTAGAGCCGTGTGAGCTAACGGGAGAATAAACTCCCGTTGAAGAGCAGCCAGCACTGCAGCGGTCGGTAAATGCCGCTGAAACACATTAATAAACAATGAACCACGGCACTCTGGAGAAAAGTATAAGGTTGGAGAAGTCGTTATTTAATTTAATCTGGCTTCGTATGATTAAAAGCAACACGATCGTCGACCCGACGCAGTCCCCGGCCCGTTGTTGTTGTGGGAGAAAATCTCTCGGCAGCTCTGGGCGGTGTGAACAGAGCGGGAGCTGAAAAGGGAAACCGGAGCTGAACCAGAAAAGCTCTCGCTAGGAGCTAGAAAGGGAAAAGCGCTGGTGTGAAAGCCGCATGTGAGTAACACACACACCCACACCCATGCTCACAAGTACGCATCTCCTCTGAGGGGCGGCGCCAGGGGGTAGCAACTCCAACAATTGGCCTAGCAACGGCTTAGCAACCCCATTGTTTTGTTAGGAAAATGTATCTATATATATTTATTTTATACACATTTTCGCGAGATCTATCAGGGGTCATTGTAAGTTAAAGCGCGAACTGTTACTTGGCTAATGTTGTTATAATTCTCAGTATGTGAACACAGATCGAAAATGTTAAGATTTCTCACAAGTCAGCGTAAACGGCCGCGATCTCCAACGGAGCCGGTCCAGCCGGACAACCCTGTGTGTGTGTGTGTGTGTGTGTGTGTGTGTGTGTGTGTGTGTGTGTGTGTGTGTGTGTGTGTGTGTGTGTGTGTGTGTGTGTGTGTGTGTGTGTGTGTGTGTGTGTGTGTGTCTGTCTGTTTGCGGTGTGGTGATGAGGTTAAATGCCACAGTATGCCGTTGAAACAGTGAACGATCGCTATTGTGTACGCTTAGGGTGTAATGGTATTATACACAAATATTGTAGGAGCACAGAAACAGTGTTCAAATTCTGCTTTTACAAACTTATTTTGGTTGTGCTTACCTTGCAAAGTAATGTTATAAGTGTCAAAGGAATGTTTTAATGTAAATATTAATGATAATATTGTAGCGTGTCCAAGTTAATAGTTATTTCAGTTATCAGATGTGCACAATTTAGTACATTTGTTATTTAGGCAATGTTGTTGGCGGGAGTTAGGGAGAGACCGCCCCTTCCAGGTGTGTGTGTATGCGTTTTCCGGTGTGTGTGTGTAGGGAGTACGAGACGGTAGGAGTTGTGTTCGAGTGTGGGGAAAAGTCATAATGAGTGTTATACTATTGATTGGCTCTGTAAGGCGTGGCTGTGGCCGTCAATACCATAAAATAAAGAGAACGTTTTCGACATTGAAGGCTCGTGATCTGTGATCTTGAATAGCGTTGAACACTACAATATGAACAGGCTCGTGCTTGGCCCACTGGTATTGTTTGTTTATTTATTTTGAAAATTAACTAGCAACGCCATGCTGTCATATAGCAACTGCTAAACTACTGCAGCAAAAAAATCCTGGCGCCGCCCATGCCTCACACACTCAACAATACAAATAGAATTGTATCCAGGGCGTCTTTACTTTCATGCCCCTGCAGAAAAGTCACTTCCTTTTTTTTAAACGTCACTTCTTTTTTTTAAATCTCACTTCTTTCTTTAAAATGTAACTTCTTTTCTTTTTAAAGTCACTTCCTTTTTTCAAAATGTCCCTTCTTTTTTTTAAATGTCACTTCCTTTTTCTTAAAGGAGAGGTGTCATGGCCATTTCCACTGATCATAATTCCATTGTTGAGGTCTACTAAAATAGATTTATACTGTGCATTTTTCCAAACTCACATTGGTTTCTCATACAGCATCTCTGTAAACTACGTGTATTCACTGAATTTCACTCTCTGCCTTTAACGGCTCGTTGTAGCTCCCAAAGCTCCAGCCCTCACCCTCCCTGTGAGCACAGTGTGCTCTGATTGGTCAGGACGTTGTGAATCGCGCTGAGCTCCGTGGAGGTGTTGTTTCCTTGTTTAGGATACATAGCGAAACACAGCCAAACTCATCCTGAGCACACACAAACTCACATCCGAAGTAAAAACAATAAGTGTGGCTTGATATTGAGTAAGAAAAAGGTTGATAAACGCTGTGAGAATGGGTCTGCAGAGAGAATTTCGCCGCAATCCCAACTGTCTGTTATCAGCCTGCAGCCAGGGAGGAGAAATCAGCTGAGCTGCCTGCTCCCTGCACACAGATGTGTGTGTGAGGAAGTCCGTGGATTGGTCAATTTGGACCAATCAGCGGGGGCTTAACGTAACGGCTCCGCGGACGTAACGTAATGGCTCCACGGATTGGTCCATTTCGTTCCGGGTACAGCTTGACATCATGCCGTCCCGGAAGAATCAAATGGACAATGACGCATCTCCAACGAGGCGTTTTGGGGAGGTATTTTCTGTGTTAGAGTTTTACTCGCTATAGGGTGTACTTTGAGGGTTTTGACTCTGCACACCGTTTACATGCATAAAAACCTTCATAACACACAAGGGAACGGGTAATAACCGGAAAAGCATGACACCTCCTTTAAATGTCACTTATTTTTTTTTAAACTTTTTTTCCAGAATTTGTCTTTCAACTAAACGCCTCGTTCTTATGAACTGGAAAGTCAGAAAGCCCAACTGCTTCAATTTAAATAGATTGCTGGAGGACTTCCTAAACATCTAAACATCTAAAGCTCCTTACACACCAAAGAACACCAAAGAACACGTCCCGACGGAACGTCGGCTCACGTCGCCTCACGTCTCCTGCGTCTTGGCCATGTTTCGCACTGGAACACACCGCAAAGACTTCAGCCGACGGCCAAGTTGCACGTACGAACTGCGCATGCGTGAGTGGCAATAACTCTCCTTGCCAGCAGGCGTCGGTAGTGTGTATTCGTCATTCAAAAGAGGCAACAACCGGAAGACAGACTGCGTGATACACAGAGAGAAGAAGAACAGACTGCGTGATATAAACAAACAACAAATAGCGTGTGCGTTCCATTTTCACTCTACAGCGAGAAGCTCATGGGGCTTTCCCGAACCTGTGTCGAGAGCTGGAGTTAAATGAAATCTCAGATTTGCCTTCTTAATAGTTTTTTTGGGTCCCTCACTTCCGTTTCGCTTCTCATGCACTGATTCGCTAAGCTGAACAGCCAATTGGAGTGAATTCTTCGGCCGACAGCCTACTAATTCAACATGTCGAATCGGCGGCGGAAGGTGTCGGCACGGCCGAAAAGACACAACGGTGCAGTACACACCAATCTGAGTAGGGCGACACGATGCTCATAGACGGCCCGACATCTATCGACGGCGAAAATCGGCTCGGTGTGTAAGGACCAGTGGCGGCCGGTCCATAGGGGCGCTAGGGGCGCCGCCCCACCTCTTCCCATATTAAAAAAAAAAAAAAAAAAAAAGATTAAAATTAAAAAAAAAAAAATATATGTTTAAAAAAATATATATATTTTTATTTTTATTTTTAATGAACAAGGTAAATATTATATAATTGGTATCAGTAAAATGTATAATCTACAATAAAATCTCGTTTAAAATTGTGTTACGATGTCTAAAGTTACTGATAAGTCACATGTTTCCTGCCTGGCCTTGCCCATGCACCTTCTCTCGTCTGGGCGCTAAGAGAGGAGCCTTCAACCAGTGCAGCAGCAGCCACTAGCAGCTGACTGTTGCTATCTGTAACGTGTAAACTATGCCGCGAAAATATAATTTCAGCCAATCAGCGTCGTCAAAGATGACGGTCACCGGGCGCCAATGTCAGCGCCCAGTGCAGTCTGTGAGTAGTTTGGACAGTGACTCGTATCCGGTTGACGCAGTAGTTGATGAGGATGGCTTCGTGTGCAGGTGGAGTCTCCGGACCTCGGTCCCCGCCTAATTCTGTTCAAGAGCTAATCTCCAATCCTTTCGAAAGGAGAAGTTTGGCAGATAAATTGTTGCTTAAAGACCTTGGACCGGACCAACCCGATTTGAATATATCGCAGCAATCTCGTGAAAAAGACAACATTTATACACGAGGCTTCACAAGTAGCTGGTACACAAGAAAGGCTTGGCTAGCTGGATGCAAACAGGTAAATGCTGTCTTTTGTTTCCCATGCTTGGATATCACTTTATATGTAGAGAGGAGGTTTCCCATGGTTGTTAGAAGTTTATTAATAAGTGGGCATTTATCACAGAAGTGATTGTTCTGTCTCCACGTTTGTTGCATTGTCTGTGATGTATTTTCCAACGGTTATAGCTCCTGTTCTGTCCCAGCAACACTACACGGTTTGCAGCTCCACCACATTTTTGGTTTATCTTCGGTGTCGCTTAAAATCTGCTTCCCATCGGACTAAAACCTCCACGTAATCTGAAGACAGATACTTGAAGTTATTTAAACCTTTTGCAAACTTTATGTTCTTTCTTGCTCTAGCCTTGCCAGTTACATTGTACATAACACATATATTATCATTATGCTAACTGGTTGTTCGTGTTAGACGATGTAGCTTTTTCATTTCTGAGTTATTGCTATATGTAAATAAGCCTGTTTGTAAATAATCCTCAGAGAAACAAAGAAAAAACACAATTTATGACATTTTGTGCTGTGGTTATTTTTTTTAAATTGCATTTATTCACAGTTCAGTTTGAAATGCTGTAGTGACTTGTATTGAACCACTTACATATTTATAATTAATGCTACTGAAAAGATGCTATTAATTTTATATCTCACATGCAGTTCACTGTAAAGCTACTTGGTGAAGGTGTTGGTTCATAAAACATGAACAGTTTTAAGAAAGAAAAAAACAGACCAGTTCTGAGAACACAAATTCCTGGTAAAGTAGTAGATGTTCAGGTTGATAAATAATATTTTCCACACTGAAGATTATGGAGGTATTGATCAGTCTTCTCATATTTTTAAGCCTCGATTTCTCCTTTCCCCCCCCCTCTAACATCACCAGAAGTCATCATTTAAGGGGTCATTTCTCGAAAAAAAATTCCGGGGGGAAACTGGAAGCTGATTCCACAGACGTGGACCCAGGGAGGAGAAAGCACGGTTTCCCATGGTGACCAGTTTTGTACACACAGCCAGGAGATTGGAGCTGTCTGACCTGAGTGTGCGTGAGGTATGTGAATGTTTTCTGGTTAGCAGTTCCTGTAGGTAGGTGGGGCCAGTGTGGTTGATGGCGTTGAAGACCATTATGAGGACTTTGTAGTTGATCCAGTGTGTTACAGGGAGCCAGTGGAGTGAGTGAAGGATGGGGGTGATGTGCTCTGATTTGCGTGTTTTTGTGAGTATCCGGGCGGCACAGTTTTGTATATATTGTAGTCTCTGAGTGGTTTTTGCTGGAATGCCTGCAAGCAGAGAATTGCAGTAATCAATGCGGGAGGTGATGAAAGCATGGACCAGTTTTTCTGCATCCGGTTTAGTGAGGGAGTGTCGCATTTTGGAGATGTTTCTTCGGTGGTAGTATGAGGCTTGGCAGACCGATTAGGCAAATGAAGCCGCTGACGTCACTTCTTCTTCTTCTGCTTTGGGTTTACTGGCAGGCCGCAAACAACTTCACGGCGTATACTGCCACCCGAAGTCCCCAGCCGGAAGTCCCCGGAGTTGGGGACTGGCTTCAGTAGAAGCTGCTGGGACTCCCAGCGGCTAATGCTAATAATGCAAATGCGAGGATAATAAAATGGCGGCTTCACAAAACTTTTTGGGAGTTTTACGGGGCGTGGTTTGCAATCCACCCAGCCAGTCAGACATAGGAACCTTTTTCTCCCACGAAAGTCCCTGCTCTCTAGCAGGGACGGAAAAGGGGGTAAAAAGGTTCTCATTAACACATTTTTGTTCCGGATTTTTTTGGTGTCAACGCAACATTTCGGAACTATATCGGAACTAAAGTGGGAAAAGTACTGTGGTGTGAACGCGCCTGTTAAAATGTTGGCATAGTTCATCCCTGTGCTGCTTGGCTCGAGCTGTAGCATGTAGCTATTTGTTGTTGTCTATCACGCAGTCTGTCTTCCGGTTGCCTCTTTTGAATGACGAATACACACTACCGCCGCCTGCTGGTAAGGAGAGTTATTGCGACTCACGCATGCGCAGTGCGTACGTGCTACTTGGCCGTCGGCTGAAGTCTTTGCGGTGTGTAGCGGCCTTTAAAGCCTCTTACACACCGAGCCGATTATCGGCGTCGATAGATGCCGTCGATGAGCGTCGTGTCGCCCTACTCAGATTAGTGTGTACTGCACCGTCGTGTCTTTTCGGCCGTGCCGACATCTTCCGCCGTCGGCCAAAGAAATCACTCTGATTGGCTGTTCAGCTTAGCGAATCAGTGCATGAGAAGCGAAACGGAAGTGAGGGACCCAAACAAACTATTAAGAAGGCAAATCTGAGATTACATTTAACTCCAGCTCTCGACAGGTTCGGGAAAGCCCCATGAGCCCCATGAGCTTCTCGCTGTAGAGTGAAAATGGAACGGACACGCTATTTGTTGTTTATTTATATCACGCAGTCTGTTCTTCTCTCTGTGTATCACGCAGTCTGTCTTCCGGTTGTTGCCTCTTTTGAATGACGAATACACACTACCGCCGCCTGCAGGTAAGGAGAGTTATTGCCACTCACGCATGCGCAGTTCGTACGTGCTACTTGGCCGTCGGCTGAAGTCTTTGCGGTGTGTTCCAGTGCGACACGCAGGAGACGTGAGGCGACACAAGTCGGGTCCGTCTGTGTGAGTTCTTTGGTGTCAGCTTGGTGTGTCCCTACCTAGCTGAACAGCCAATCAGAGTGATTTATTTTGCCGACAGCCTCCGCAACAAGGTGAATCGGCCGCGGAAGGTGTCGGCACGGCCGAAAAGACACAACGGTGCGGGCCCTGTGCAGGACACACCAATCTGAGTAGGGTGACCGGCAACAGGACGCTCATCGACGGCCAGACATCTATCGACGGACGAAATCGGCTTGGTGTGTCAGGGGCTTGACTGCTCTCTAATATTCTGCTAGTTTATACTTCGACCCAACTACATTTCAAAAAGCAAATATTGTAATTCTTCTTACTCCACTACATTAATTTACTTAGCAGATTCAGATTAATAATACCAGATATAATTAAATTATAATGTCTTTTTTTACCAGCAACAAATTATGTCCTTTTATTTCTCTGATTTTAAGAATATGTTGCTGCTAATAATGTATGTTCTTCAAGAAAAACACCGTCAGTTCTCACAAAGATTAGAAAAGTTTGTTTTTAATAGAGACAACCCAGTAAGAAATGTGTTATGACTCGTTACAAAAATAAGTACGTTTTCTTTTCAATGTAACGCTACAAATGTAAAGCAAACAAATAGGAAAACCTAGAGAACAACGACCCAGTTTGCCTTGTTTAAATCCTGCTGCGAAAAATATTTTATGCATGATACTAAAACATTAAAGGCACTTAAATTAACATTCATTTACTATATAAACTGTCACAAAGTTCATACCTAGAAAACTTACAGCTGAAAAAAACCCTCTTTAGGTAGACAATGATTCAACATGATCCCCGTTATCCAGCAATAGACCAATATAACAAACAGATGACATCAAAATTGGACGGAAAGCAATCCATGAAATAATAGGACAATCAGAGACTAAATCTTGAACATGTTCAAGATCAACCTTTAAATACCTTTTGAAAAACAAATGCTTTGGGAAGCCTTCCCAAAACATACATTTAAGTCAAAACATGAATATTTAAGCACATACGTACTAAACCAAGAAAAACATTGTTTAGGGTTACAGGACCTAAATCCTCCATTGGAGGGATGCTTTACGTTTCTACATTCAAATAACCTCTTTTTTAAATGAAATCTAAGGATTACACAGGAATAAAATGCCCTGATTTTACCTCAGTATCAATATATTTTCAATTGCTTTGATTTCTCTCTCTACAAAGAGCGGGATGCAGTGGCTCAAGGGCACTTCAGCAGGGGAGTTGTTTGGGGTAAGAATGAGACTTAAATCTATACCATAGGGTCCAGTCTTTCTAACCCCACAGATGATTGTCCAGATGTATTTGCAAAACAAAGCTCAAAGTAAAAGAACTAGGTAAACTAACTTTAGAAACTATTGAAATCTAATTAAGGAAATATATTCAAATGACACATAATTTCTATAACAGTAACAGTTAACATCTCCATTCAAGAGTAAATCTGATGAAATTGTGTTTTTTCATCAATTATTTAGTAAATTATCCAGCGAGAAAAACAATAATTGTTCACACGCAACCTAATTTAAAGTCCTATTGGTGCCATAAGTAAATACTCAAAAACAAGGACAAATAATAAGTGGTTGTAAATTATTTTCAGTGCTTTTCTTCATCTTTACTAAAAGAATAGCAGGTTAATGGGAGTATTATCAAGACAATATGTTGCGTGACAGTCATGTTACAGCACACTAAACATATCAGTTGAATAAATTAGTGGTAGTTAGTGTTTGACTATAGTTCAATCATCACAATTACCAAGATATTGTCCCAGTCTTTGTTTGACTACCTATATTTTGGTATTTATAACTACTGGTATGAAGAGCTGAAAGGATTAGTCAATAATAATCTGCAACATGATGGTCACAAAAATAATCCTAGTTCCAGTTTCTGAAATATGAATATTTTTTTGCACTTTTTGGTCTTATATGATAATAAACCAAATATATAATAAAGTATTTGAAAGACGTCATATTTGATTTAGGAAACGTAGGTATCTTTCTACCTTTTAGGATATAAACAATTAATTGTGCTTTTTTTCTGTGATTATATTTCGGTTCTACCACCCATTATATAAACGTATACACAATCGTTCAACCATGCACCTGGTACCAAAGTAGGGTAAAATAAACCTGGCCAGTAACCCACCGAGGGGTAAGTGCAGCCAACAAGACTATACTATGTGACGCTTAGGTTTTAATCGAAGAATTTCAGGCAACCGTGGTGATTTTATCCTGAGTTGTTTTAGCATTTTACAAAACCAGCTTGATTCATGGGAACAAAATAGGACCTTTGCCTTTCACAACCAAAATGTACCAGTAACTGGCTGCTAGCTGGCATAACATCCCACTGTGGGATCAATTCTGGACGGTCTAAAGTGCTAATGGTCTACCAGCAGACTGACAAGTGCTTCTTTGGATATAATTCGGACGGATTAGGACGGATGCAGAAGCTCTAACAGGGCTCCAACTGCTCCAAAGTAACCCTGAAATACACAAAAAAGAACATTGATTCAGAAATCATTACGCACATAAAGCAAAAAAGTACATTTGTAGTGAAATAAAGGGTTGAGTTATTTACCTCGTGCTGCAGGAAGAGCGCCTTCAGTTGTCCTTTAGACCAGTAGTCCATGGCGTAGGCCAGCAGCTTCATAGAGAGGGTGTTCACTCTCAGGAAGTTTCCCACAAAAACCACTCTCTCTATGTTCTTAATTAGGCAAGAGAATGGGGATAACATATTTCGGTTAATAGGCAAGCTTATTTTATGAACACTGTTATGTTATCAACATGACAAACTCTGGCTTTGTTTCTCTGTTGAGGAAGTTACCATTTCTGCTTTGTAATCAGAAGTCCACACACTCTCTCCTCATTTTATATTAACTTAGAGCATTTTTATCTAATTTGTAAAGCAATTTATTTTACTCCAGATTAAGGGGGTGTATTATTATTATTATTACATGTTACTTGTTAGACGCTTTTATCCAAAGCGACTTACATACTCAATACTGTGGACAATCCCCACAGGAGCAATTTGGGGTGAAGTGTCTAGCCCAGGGACACAACGACATGCTGACTGCAGTGGGGTTTGAACCTGTGACCCCCTGTCTGTGTATGTGAGACATGCTACTTTGATAGCAAAAAAACTGGAACAATAGACACATCTGATTCATTATTGTTTGTGTTTTTAATTATTGTTTTGTGTTGAACATGTTGATAATGCAGCGTACGTCCTCTACGCCTTCATAGCCCTGTACAATGCTGCTTGATCAAGATGTCACAAGGCAGCACCGTAAAGAGGCTGAACGCAAAGAGGAAAGACCAGCAGGGACACTGGAGGAGAACTGATGTTTTCACAGACATGTTCATCTAAAGTAAATCTTTCCCCTCTCCATTGTATCTTGACATTCGTCCATCCCACCTGAACTGTTTTGCCATTCAAATGAAATACTCTGCAGCATGTACAGTGAATTAGCTACTAACCTCATTGAGAGCACACATCCTGGTGATGGAGCCGATGTTATTGGTGATGCTGACTAGTGTTGCTCTGGCCAGGTCCTCTTTGGACACCGTCTCCCTCTTCTCTTTGGACACCATGTTACCAAAACTATCAAATCAAAACACAAGCAATATTTTAGATAAATAAAAATGCTAAAGTCTGTTCAAACAGCGAATGCCGAAAACAAGATTTAGAGCAAATATATATATATATTTTTTTTAAACATTTGGGAGTAGGACCATCACAATTTCACATTGTGGCCAAAAGATAATGATATCAAGATGTCTGTGTGGGTGAAATGTGTCTTTACATTTGTGTTTTTTGTGCGATCTGTCCATTTTTCGGTAAATTAATTGGGATAGAAAGCACAGTAAATGTAGCACTTTACTGGTTTCTGTTTTATTAAAGCAGAGACTGTGCTTTTGATTGATTCCACCCAAAAAAGGCTTTTGACCTAGAGTAAAAAGCTGCTGTAAACCGCACCTTGAGGCTACAGCCCAGCCCGGCAGCCCAAACCTCTCATAGTCTCCTCCGTAGATGTCTCGGACCAGCTTGTCCACTTTGGTGCTCTCCCCTTCAGAGGCCATTTCTAGAGCTTCCTCGAAAGATGAGCAGCCAGTCAGCAGGCAACACAGACCCAGGAAGGTCCCACCACCGAGGCTGTGAAACCACACAGATTAACAGGGGGAGAATACAATTGTAAATGTGAATATTCTATAAATGTAAAATACACCAGTCTGGATTGTCTAGGGATTGTAAGGTCTCAATGTTAGTCTAAAATGTAGGGGAAAAGGGACATTTCTCACACAAAATCCAGCTAACACAGAACTATTTTGTTTCAACTCACAAGCAAACAGTTAAGTGAAGGGAAGTTGTTGGGTGGCAGATGTCTAAAAAAATGTCGCTACTTTTCACATCAAGGCACTAGGACACAAAGGGCAGACGTCACTTGACTGGAGTGCATCTATTTGCAAATCCCCGTGACATTTGGGGCCAAATACACTTAGAATTATAAGATAGGTTTTTCTTTGAAGACATTATCGTTGGAGTGAGCTAACGACTTTGAGGCAGACACATTTCTACTGGGCCGGTAAGCCAAAACTAAGGTTTCCGAGTTATCCTACTGGGAATCTACAGACACGGGGAGGGGGAGTGCGCCATCTAGTGTCTCAATGTCATCTATATCATCTTTAATGAGTTGCACTCATCAGGAATTGTTTGGTTTTTTGTATTAATTTATTTTTCCTTCTCCCATCTTTTAATCCATGTAATCTTTCTCTCTTTATTGATGTCTTACCTTACTTATTTTTATTCTTATTACTTATATTTTAATAAATTTTTCACTATTTTCTTATTGATATAATAGTTATACATTATTACTCCAATTAACAGTTGTTTTTGGCTATCTGTTATAGATTTGGGTAATATGTGTGAATACAAAAATAAATATGGTATTTGACTACATTTCACATAATTATTATATGTATTTATATTAGTATACCCCTGCAGCCCCTGTACTCCCTCTAGGAATAGTTCATTTTTTGTATTTTTATGACTTTTGATCATTACCCCCCTGATGTTTAAAGGTCTTACAACTTCATGGCTGATAATTACCTGGTCCCCGTAACTCGTTTGTAGTTGGTCTCAGAGTAGACGGCCAGGATGCTGACCCCGGACCCTATGTTGACCAGCAGCAGAGGATAGGGGTTCTCCAGTGTGTAGGGCTTCTGGATGCAGCGTTCTGGGTCAGTGGGGTTTTCAAAGTAGTAGCACTCCGAGGGTCCGCTGGACACCACCGAGTCGATGTACAAAACCCCCCGGATCAAACAGTCCAGCTCATCTAGCTTGTGAAGCTGCAGGTCCGCCATCTTTTATTTGAGAGGGTAAAAGAACATAGATAACATCACTGAGGGGGAGGCGGTCAGGAGAACACAGAGGAAGGGAGACGCAGGGTGGAGGGAAAGCAGGGGGGTAAGAAAACAGGAACCGTCACTAAAATTCTATTGAAATGTGCCTCACCATTTTTATAAAAATACTTGAAGGAACCTTTAGTGCCACAATTCTGATTAATCTTAGTGTTATCAGTTTAACTTGTCCTTATTAGAGAATTGATGTTTATCACAGTACTTACGGGGAAAACAATGGTAGCCTAATGCTAAATTCATGAGGATATGCATGCTGTCTTTGTCCTTGTTATTAGTGCCAAAATTGCATTATATCTTTAAAAGTTGTATTTAGGTGCTCTTCATCAAATTCTGTTCAGTAAGAATCACACGCATTCCCATCACATGCTATAAATATGTTCAATATGACTTCACTATTTTCTCTCCTCTTTTCTTCCTGTCTCCACAATCCAGCCTGTAAAAGCAAACAGTGGAGAACACCTGCATGGACCCACCGTGCGGAAATCTGCCTCAAACTTGTACGCCCCCCCTCCCGTGGCGCAGAGGGTGGTGTGGAGGCTGGAGAAGTGCTTGCTGCGGGCCATCTGCAGGAAGGCCGGCAGGTCATGCGTGGGGAAACGGATGAAGTGCAGGTTGCCTTTCCTGCCGCACAGCGTCAGGTCCTGCAGCTCCAGGTGCACGTCCCTGATGCCAGTTTTACCATAGGCAATGTTGGAGGTGAGGTAGCGCCGGATGCTCTTCAGGTTCTCCACCTCTTCCTGCTCCTCCTCTGCTGTGATGTCTTTGGGCTCAAAGTAGACCAGCTTCACCAGAGTGCCTCCAATGTCCATCCCAAACCAGGGAAATGCTGCATTATGTGAGATAATCAATGCAACAACAACAAAAATCACTCACAATATTCATTTTATTTAAAATTGCATAATATAATATCTTTTATATTTAAATGCTTATTGACAGTAGTCACAAATAGAGGTGATGTATGATTGTTGAACGACATAAGGAAAAGCAGCTTCATCCATAGAGGCAGAAGTACAGTGTGTACCGTGAACGCCATCTTGTTGCGAAATAGACCCTGGCTATTCACTGCCACTACACCTCAGATATTACATTGTACTACAAAGACCACAATTATGTTGTCAGTTCTAAAATCTTCTCACCAATATCAACACATTTACAATACATTTTAAATACGCTTTATGTATATACGTCTTCATTTTAAATCTCAATTATTATTGACTGTCTTTTGTGGGCTACGCCTTTTAATTTATGTATACGATGCAATCCCCAGTAAATACACTAAGCCCATGCTAGTAACGGTAACACCTACGCGGCCTTGTTTTCTTCACCGAGTCGCTGCGAAGCCTCGCCGTCGAGTTGGAGGTCTGCCGCTGGGATGTGGCTCTTCCTGCGGGCGATGCAGCCTCATTGTCGGGCTCATTTCTGAAACACCCGGGCATCTCCCTGTCGGACCGCGGCTGCTTCGTGGGCGTTTCGTCTTCGTCGATACTTTCATCGTCGCGTTGGTGGCCATTGGACGCCATCAAATAGCTAAATCACTACATACATACTGCCACTTTATGATAAATAAAACGATGAAATGTCAATGATTTATGTGGACAATGAAGTCTAGGCCCTAGCTAATTAGCTAGCTAAGTAGCTGTGTCGTTATAACGGCCGTGTGTACATGTCCTTTTTTATTCTCGCTGTCAAGACGGGGGTGGGCGGGGTCAGACGTTTGATTGAAAGACTCCAGAACCAATCAGAATGCGAGTTAGCAAGTCAGAAAACATTTCACAAAAGGAAGCTGTTTAGTTTTTCACATTAAAAAAACACATTTTGTTCTTTTTCAGAATGCATGAAAATCAAAACAAGCACCATATTATATCCCGGAAATAACTATTATACATTTACAGATTAGGAAAGATTATTGATTGAAATTAAATATCCATAAGTAGAAGCTCTCTTAATGTTGGTAATTTATTATTTACATATAATAATAACTGTTCTATGTGACATTAGTCCCAAAAAGTTATTGTGGACTTAAAATAAATCTGTGCTATTTTTTCAGTGAAATCAACATGCAAACTCAACAAATATTTGTTTTATTTCAGGTTTATTGGTATACAGTAATTGCCAAGTGGGTATCCAGAGACAGTCTTTACATTTTTTTGATAAACCGTAAACTGAGATTACAATTTACATGTTTTCCAGAGTGAATACATTTAAGCATCTTTGCAGCTCAAATACCCTGATAAAATGTGCAAAAACATTTATTTTTTTCCCCCTAACATTTCTTATATTAACAATGCTATTTACAATAAAATCTCTTCTCAAACTTTCTTTTTAAAATAGAGGACAACAACTTTGGAAAAATAAATTCTCATCTCAAACATTTACACCAGATGATGGCCATGAAGCTTACAAAGTGCATATAGGATACTTTAAAACATTTTATTGAGTTTATTTTTTGTAATGATCTAAAAGGATAACAATTAGAGGATGTTTACACTAACAACAATTTAAAATGTTCCTGTTTTAACATCAAAACTGAAGAAATGAGCACAACCACAAAAGTGAACATTTAAAAACCCAGTTAAATATGCAGCTAACAACATGATAGCTCAAGGTTAATACCTTCCATGTAATGATTTGTTGGCTCTCAGTTAAACTTGCTTGAGCATTTTGAAGCTGTGTGATTGGACTGGGTAAAGCTGGTAATGAATGTGTGTTTTGGGGAACATCAAGTCGTCTTAATCTCTGGCTCAAAAAGAAACAGGACAGGGCTATTAAAGAAAACTCACTTTGAAGCAGTGCCATCGTTTTTAAGCAGACATTGCTTTGGAATGTTTTTGACATCACATTTTACTAAAATACATAATTGGATACCTTTATAATCTCTATATATGTACAAATAAATACACAGTGCACTAGCCATCGTTTACAGAGTGGGATACTGGCCCTCTTTCTTCCGCAGTCAAGATCAAGTAGTTTAAGGTCCTTGGTACACTTATCTTCCCTGGATGACAGCCAACAGTCTTATCTTAAAAGTGCATCAGACACACAAATATTTATATAATTAATACACAGCACAAGTGTTTCTTTACAAACTTTGCGGCACATGCATAAATAACCTAAGAATCCATTTCCATGAAGTTCCCAAACTAGAATAAAAAGGGTAGATTTGGTTTTTGTTTACCAGGGCAAACTTCATTCAACAGTAAAATAATAATACATGGCCCAACTTAAGAACATACTTGTAATTAATGACATGATCAAAGGTCTGGCAAGTCAGCTATTATTACTAAAGGTAATTATTACACAGCTGCCTAGCACCCTTTCAGTTCACTGACTACAATAAGGCACCATAACCTTAAGATCCTCTTTTAAAAAGCCTTAAAGCCTAATCTTCTCCTCCTTTAAAAAGGTATTCAATCCACTTAATTCTTAAACCTCCACGCCATCACCAGGGCGCAGGCGCCCACTCCTGCAGCCGTCAGAATGTACTTAGTATTATTCGACTTCTTCTCTAGATTCTGCAGCGTCTTCGGCTCTGGGGAGATATCAGCAGGTGTGGGCTCAGAAGGGAGGCAGTTCTCACCAGAGGGGGTGTTTACACTCAATACAGTATCACCAGTGTTGGTGGACACTGGTGGCACAGGGGTGATCTCTTTGGCTGCGTCACCATTCATGATTTGAGCTTGTGGTATTGAGCTTTGGCCGTCTAGGTCAAGGATAGACGGCTCCTCGGATATATGCACGACATTCTCCAGCACTTGCATATCCAAACTCTCACAGGGAGACTCGTAGTGGTTTTCCTCCGGTTCGCTGTGGTTAGGAGCGATGCCGTTCTCCTGGCATGGCAGTGCGGTATTCACAGTGGTGGAGCATGCGGGGAGGAGGGAAGAGGTCACAGCTTCTGATGCAGCATCACTGATTTCCAGACGCTCACTACTCTCCGAATAGGGCTGCACCGGCTCTCTTTGTTCAGGGATAGCAGGGATAGCATCTTTTTGAGGGTGGATGCTGAGGAGTGGGCCAGGTTTGCTCAGACACACAGAGCTGTCATCACAGATAGAGGTGTCCGTCTCTGCAGCAACCGGCAGGGGGGAGGGGGCAGCTTCAGTTTCTGTCTGAGGGCTGCTTTCAATAACCTGCAGGAGACAATTACATGTCAATTTAGTTGTTGATTTTTTAAATCTGTGTAGACAATATGTTCAAAGTTTAAATGAATGTATCCATCTCTGATTCACTGTTAAACAAAAACTCAACATCATAAGCTCCACAGAGGTAATTATTGAAGGCCTTATATACAGTTCCTCTCATTTGTATTAAAATGCTACATACAAAATGCTGCTGACAAAAAGTAGCTTTTCACGTATCATTTTTACATTATGAATACTTTTCTGCAAACATTTAACATAACAACTATTTATTACGCCAGGAATGGGAAATAGCAACAATTGCAACACTTATTCAATAAAAGGTTCACATAAATCTGCAGAAAATAAAAATTGAATTCCCTTTAGCAAAATGCTCTGAAGTCCCCTCTTGTAAACAGTTACGCAGTGTACTGTATATGTCTTGGGCTTTTATTGTGAAAGGTATGGACAGAAGGATCTGGTATGTGCTGCCTTTTTCAATGTTGAAAGGAACAATAAAGTTTGCAGCCTTGTTATAGACTATGGAGACTTTATGTTGTGGTTTTATAATCCTCATAAAGATACTCATAGTGTATGTTGACATCTGTTACACAACGTGATTGGTTGATGCCTTTATACTGTAGTAAAGCTCAAAGAATGCAACCTTGTTCCATAAACAAATTACGTCATACTTTACCTACATACTTTTTTTTAAATTCATTTATTTGGTATTCACCTGTGTCGCAGGCGGCTCAGACGTCTCTTCAGGCAGCAGGACAGGAGCAGGTTTCATGTCCACAGGGGGGGTGGTGTCCTGGACCGGAGGCTTCTCTGGGGTTAAAGTGAGGAAAGAGGATCCATCGGTCACATCCGAGTTCATCTGAGATGGAGAGGGACTCTGTGGAGGACTGATCTCCGTGGAGGTTGTTGTTGTTGTTTCGACAGGATCTTGGATGGATGGAGTTTCTGTTTCCAGCTCCTCAGCAGGGGGGGGTGGTTGCGGAGGGGCCACAGTGTCGATCAAAACCTCACTGTTTCCTGCGCTCACCTGATCGGGGATCGCAGCATCATCACCGGAGACATCCTCGATGTCGGATTCACAGTTTTCCACCGGCTCCTGGTGAGAGTTGCTCTCCGGAGGAGGGGTTGATGGAGGGGGTTCCACTTCACCCTGAGTTGGCTGTGGAGGGGAAACCACCTCAGGAACTTTGGCTTCTGCACTCGGGGGGGCTTGTGGCTGCACAGGGATTTCCAGAGAGGGTGAGGCCTGGGCAAGTGGCTCTGCAGGAGCTGGTGCTTCAGCTGGCAGAGCAGCAGCAGCAGCAGCAGCAGCAGCCTGACTGTTTGCACCGCTCTCTGTGGTGGACAGATGACTGGCAGATGGTGCTGGATGCACGTGTGCCCTGACGACAGTTGTTGGAGGAGAGCTGGGGTTGGAATCTAGGCCAAAGAAAATGACGTAATCAAATCCATTTTGAATCCTTTTTCAAATACACAATATCATAGCCCAGGACACTCAATGACAGACTCTTATTATCTCTTATAGACACTGTGTGTTGCATTGATACACATCTATCCTGCACATTTCTGGCCCCTGCATGAACAGTTCACAGCTTTATACACTATTTTTACAGTTGAAGCAAAACAGCGACCATCAGAGATAAGTCTGTAGTTGTGTAGGACTGAAATAAACCTCTTAAATTCTCAGGGTAAGATTTACTGTATTGGCTGTATAAGATATACGGTACATCTAATGCTTAACGATGCCCCTTGGCTGTAGTAATATCTTTTGAACTCACAACTTCTCGTCGATAATTGCATAACTCCACACATTAATACACAGTTCTAGGTACTTGATTTAAAGACTTACTGTTGGTGCCTCGCAGAGTGTCGTATTCTGTTCTAAGCCCAGCTGCTAATATTGTCTGCTCACACGCCTCGAGTGCTTCGATGAACTGCTCGGGCCAGTTTTCTCTTTTCTTCAGACAGTCCAGCAGAAGCACCATGCCGTCATAGTTCCCACGAACCTCTCTTTTTGCCTCAATGTTTTCCTAAAATGTAGATTACATTAAAAAAACCACATACATCAATTCATTAGCTTCTTGTTGGTGACTTACTGATGATCTTCTGAGAAGTTTATTATTCACAAAGAAATATTCCTGTCATTAATGATATTAAAAATGTATCAATATCCCATCCTACAATAAACAAATGTAAACATCCTTTTCAATGCCAATTAAGGGATGTTATATCAAAAACATTTGACGACCATATTTGGGAGATTTGATCCCCCCAGCTCTAGTGTCAGGCCCTTCTTCCTGTTAAAACTTACCCTGTCGTGAGAAGTCAAGCAAGGCAGGTGGATCATTACTTCTCTCACTTTCACCCTGCTCACAATGGTCGGCATATTCCGCCGCAGATACCCCATTGTACAGATTTTCACTGGCAAATGACATCTGTGAAATTAGAAAAAAGAGAAAAGACAAAGAGATAGTAAAGACTTCAATTTCCATCTTTTTTCCCCCTCTAAAGTCCCACGCCTTTTCTTTACATTGCAATTTTGCAAGGTTGTACTTCAG